TCTTTCTCGTTTTCGTTAACGTTGTCATTATTTGGAAATTGAGCGTGGACGTCACGTCAATATACAAGAAATGTAATAGAATGCAAACGTTAAAACTGTATGTCCAGCATAGTCACAGTGAGGCCAACTATTCATAAAGACTAAGTTGTATCTTCATCCTAACATATTTTTTTAACATTTTGATGTACGTTTTGCTGTAGTTCAGCCTGTGTCATAACGTTGTTTGTTTGTTGGTTGGTTTGTTGTTTAACTCCGCACTCAGCAATATTCCAGCAAATGGGATACGATGGTGTCATAACGTGACGGTACTGAATAAATAAATTGATTCAAAAGTTGTTTGCATCGTCAGGCAATATTTATTCAATATTTAGTTCGATGATAATTGAAACTTATAACATTTATTTCGTTGCTTTTATTTTGTGTGAAAGTTCATTATACGTTCCAAATTTGTTTGGTGATTCCTTTCGGTACAACACAAGCGAAACGATATGCACGGTTATGTCCCTTAGATGTGCCCGGATCTGGGTTCAAATTATGAACAACAAATACGTTTTACTCGAAAAGGGAGCAAAAGATGGTAGAAATAGAGTTACACAGGAGTGATTCTTTTACATAACAGGAAACTTTTTATTCTAAATCAGAGGGGTGCTAATTCAGGCAAGCTAGTGGTAGATCCCTTTTAAATTGTTGTTTTGATCAGTAGTTTAGGGTGAGATGAGTAACCATATTTGACTGATGTTTTACAGACATATAAACTGCTGTTGTCAGTTGTATGTACTGTATATTTCAGCTGCAATCATTTGCCAACACTACACAGGCAGAGGCATATCAGACTTCATTTCAAGAGGCCATCAAGAAGACGCAGGCTGATATGGATTGGCTAGAGACTAACGGTGACGTCATCAAAGAGTGGCTCACAGAACAGGGTTTTGGAGAATACCTGCCATATTAACCACTTTGCTGCTGAGACCCGCTCGCTTTACGTTGAATACCTGATTCATTTGAATTGTAAACAGTGCATCTGCTTTCCTCCCTCCTTGTTGGCACACCCGGCAAGCTTTAACATTCTATTTAAACAAGACTTGGTCTGCTGACTAAAATGTTAGTATGTCAGTACAGGTTGTATGACATAGTGAAATATAGTATTGTTTTAAGCCGCTTTTCCAGCATTATCACAGCGGGTAGTGAAATATAGTGAAATATACATACTATTAGTTAATCCTTTAATTTTGTACTCAGCTACTTCCAGCTTATAGAACAGTTTACAAACTCTATCGTCCCTATTTGAGGAAACTTACCATATAAAGTTTTGTTTGTTTCTTTGATTGTTGTTCGACGCCGCACTCAGCAATATTCCAGCTGTATGATGGCGGTCTGTAAAATACAGTGATTGACATCATGAACATCGATCCACGCAATTGGGATACGACGACATGCATCAACCATGTCAGCGAGCCTAACCACCCTATCCCGTTAGTCGCCTTTTACGACAAGCATAATCGCCTCTTATGGCAAGCAAGGGTTGTTGAAGACCTATTCTAACCCGGATCTTCACGGGTCCCGTGCTTTTGATTATATTGTGCATATTTTAGATTTTTTTGTCTTCCAATAAACGTATTTTATATATTGGCAGTTTATGTTGACTTTGTTGGTCAGGTTTTTACAATCTAATTACAGTCTGTAACTATTTCCCATGATAGACAATGATGCACAGGAACCTTTTACTGCTGTTATATAAACTGACGTCCAAAAGAAACTTTACCAACTGAAAATATAAATTTCAGACAAAGTATAAAAATTTTTTCGATGAAGTCTATCTAAAACTAATAACCTAAATACAACAATAATGTATGCAGAAAATGTTAATCGTATGTTACATGTTTGCGAGATAACACGCGAAAAAGTGAAAAACACGTGCACCACGGACAACTGCTAATGCACGTGCGGGTAAGGGTATAAAACGATTGCAACGGCAAGTCAGACATCCACAGTGATAAAAAAACAAAAGAAATGCCACGACTCACAGTCGAACAACGTGAACGAGCCTTTGGTATGGTACAGATGGGAGCCACACACGCCCATATTGCACGAACCTTCGGTTGCTCCCGTGTTGCCGTTACCAACTTGATGCAATGTTACAGACAGACAGGGCGGACCACTGACAGGCCAAGAACAGGCAGACCCAGGGTGACCACGACCCATGATGACCGGTACTTGCGTACCTTGCACCTCCGAAATCGCTTCCTGACAGTGACGTCATCGGCGACAAATGCCTTAGGTCACAGGGTTAGTCGACAGACAGTGGCCAGGAGACTCAGGGCTCATGGAATCAGGGAGTTTAGACCATACAGAGAACAGCTATTGGCAGCGCAACATCGTCGTCTGCGATTGAGATGGGCCCGGACTGTACGACGTTGGCAACGACGTGACTGGCAGAGGGTTGTCTTCACTGACGAACGTCGATTCTGTATGTTTAGGGCTGATGGAAGACAACGTGTTTACCGCCGAACGTGTTTAACGGCGGCGTGTTGCGTGCAGGAGGTCGTACCATATGGTGGAGGGAGTGTCATGGTTTGGGGAGGGATCTGTGGGCAGGAGAGGACACCTCTGGTCATCGTTGACGGAAACTTGACATCTCAGCGTTACATGGATAACATTCTTCGTCCAGTTGTATTACCATTTCTCAAACAGCAGCCACGTGGTGTCATTTATCAGCATGACAACGCTAGAGCCCATACAGCCAGAATTGCCACTAACTTCCTCGCAGCCAACAACGTCAACGTCCTGCTGTGGCCTGCACGCTCACCCGACATGTCCCCCATAGAACACCTCTGGGACTTGATGGATCGTCGTGTTCGACAACGACCACACTCTCCAGCCATACGGCAAGAACTGATCTTGGCCCTCCAAGAATAATGGCGTCAAATCCCACGTGACCTCATCAGACGACTGACTTTTTCTGTGCGTCGAAGAGTGTTTGCGTGTATTGAGGCATTTGGTGGTCACACACGCTACTTGTGACTTGTTATTGAACGTGAGCGATTGTTTATGTACTCTGCCTATTGTCCATGATTCTGAAAGCTCGAGTTTTGTACCACACCCAACTTTGGGGGGGGGGGGGGGGGGGGGGGGGGGGGCTCTGACGTCATTCTCGGTCGCGGTATGATTGTCATTTTCAGTGTTGATTATGTTGATATATTGATCTTCTCAATACACTTTACTTCATGCATGTATGTTTTGTTGTTTTTGAGCAAGAGTGATTTCAAACTCTGGTAAAGTTTCTTTTGGACGTCAGTTTATATTACTCTCAGCTATCTATATCTCTCGTCCTCACAAACCTCGTTCATCTCAGTCTCTCTTCAGACGCATCATATTTCTACCATATCTCATCTATGTTGTTTGTTTGTTGTTTAACGCCGCACTCAGCAATATTCCAGCTATATGACGGCGGTCTGTAAATAACCGAGTCTGAACCAGACAATCCAGAGATTAGTATCATGAGCATCGATGCACGCAGTTGGGATACGATGACATGCATCAACCAAGTCAGCGAGCCTGACCACCCGATCTCGTTAGTCGCCTGTAACGACAAACAGAGTCACCTTTTACAGCAAGCATGGGTTGCTGAAGACCTATTCTACCCTGGATCTTCACGGGTATCTCTACTTGGTACACAATACTAATATACATAGCATATCAAGAGTGAAGACTTTATTCAGAATAACAGACCTATTAATATTAATATAAAGCCGACCCGTGAAGATTCCTGGGTAGAATAGGTCTTCAGCAACCCGTGCTTGTCGTAAAAGGCGACTATGCTTGTCGTAAAAGGCGACTAACGGGATCGGGTGGTCAGGCTCGCTGACATGGTTGATGCGTTAAACAACAACCAACCAATATATAGCCACCAACAGTGAATGAAGCCGAAATTACTTTAAAACTAAAGAATACAAATGATGTCTCTGAACAAAACGTGCTTTTAATGTCAAACAAAACCCACGAACGAAATTCATCACCCCGTGAAACTTTCTTTTCCTTCTGTTCGTGCTAGAGTCCTTGTGTTTCTTCAAACCATTTTCATTGGATTGGTTGGGGGTTTCGGGAGGTTTTTTAAGTATCGACACATATTGTCTTTTGGAGAGTGTTTTATCACTCTGAATCGTTTTGCATACATCTAAATATGAAAACAGATGAGGCGGTATCTCACAGGTCTCCTTTTTGTCTAGTTCTGGATGGTAAAGCAGTGGAAGGGAATTGGCTATTTGATGGTTAATGAACGATATCAGATCATCGATATACCTGGGCTTAATTTAAACTTCTTGGCCAGATTACCTTGTTTTGACTTTCAGATTCATATGGATAAAGAAACAGATCCGCAAGAAGGGGAGCACACTTGGTGCCCATTGGGATAACTACGTCTTGCCTAAATGTCTTTCCTCCAAAGTTTACATTGATGTTATCAATATAGGAAGTCCAGCATTTCACATATTGTTTTCTCAGTAAACTTCAGATGGCATTTGCTTTCAATTTTGATGAATTGTCCTGATCCTCTGAATATAGATACGTAACTGTATCTGTGTTCACCATGTTTTGTAACAAAAGCCCCTTGGATCAAGGAAGGAAGTTTTTCTTACGTTTGTGAAAAATCAAATATTTTGACAGAATGGAACTTGGTTCTTTTCGGAGATTGCAAATTGTCAAGCAAATCCTTTGAGTTTTTGGGCATCCACGTTGTCTCAACCACTTTTTGTGAATACAAAGAAAGTCCTACATTGATTGTTTTAAGGATTATTGTTAGTCTTTGGGACAAGGATTTGGTGGTTTATTTGCTGGACCCAACAATATCTCTCTCTTTATCCCGCGATATGCCAAGGAGAGGCACGGGCCACCGAGCCGTGGGTGCCCGTGCCTATAATAAAAACAGAAGATGAGGTTGGGTTAAATGGCCGAGGGTGTGCAGGTACTAGTGGGCTACTTAGCTGCTAATTGTGTATACCAAAATGCTACCGTTGCCATGGCCACGCGCGTGGCCGACGGCGATTGCAGCTAGCGCTGCTGGCCTGGGACTGCTACCGCTGTCCGGCCCCCACGGTAGCATATTTAACCGCTACCATTGCTTGGCAACTCCCACGTTGCCAAAAGCAGCTCCACGCTGCTGGCCTAAGTCAGACTGCCGCTGCCCGGCCCCAGGTAGCCGGCCAAAGCAGATCACACTGCCCGGCCCCATTAGCAAAACCATTGTGCGGCCCCCGCCGCGGACCCAACTGTCAGCTACCGCTTGACAAGACGACTTCCGCCGCCGGGCCCATATACGTGGCAATTGTTTGCCCCAACGTATGTTATTTTACGATTCCCCGGCTGAAAAGTCGGGAAAGACAAGGTTCCCACTGAGAAGCAGGTAACCCCGGAAAGGTCCCCGCTGAAAAGCAGGTAGCCTTAAGCACGAGTATTAATTTGGAAGCAAGTTAATTTGTTACTAGCAGTGTAGCCCACAAGAACCCCGCCACAAAGCACCAGAGTACCAACCACAAGCTTGTGAGGGGAGCCAAGCAGCCCAGGACAACCAGAAGACAAACCCCTGGAGTACACATTGTACAGGAGGCAACAGCTGATGGTGAGTCTGCCAATTACGGCAATATCGAAGGTGGCAACAGAATTAACGTACAATCGGCGCAGCTTGTAAATGCCGCACAGGCTGCCAACTCGGCTACCCAGGTAAACGAGCAACTGGAAAAAATACTCCAGTTGCTGGAACATTCAGCGCCTGGCCCGGTTAGCGCAAACCAACAGGTAAGGCGTGGTTTTAGTTCGCCCGCCATTTCGCCCAACATAGGGAGAATCCCCGATGCCCTCAACGAGGCCGACGGTGACGCGGCTTGGCCAGCCAATCACACCGCAGGATACGGGGATTCCCTTTCCTTCCGTGCGGACGGGATAGACGCGCACGTCAAACAACAGGTGAGGGAAAAAATCTGGCGTGGCGAGTATGTCGACCTCGGCACAATCCTACCAAACACCGAGGGAAGTCACGAGGACGGTACGATTACCATTGCGTACGACTCCTCAGGTAAGGTAATTTTTAAACCAATTAAGCAGCAACCAAAGCGTCTGTCCCTGGCGAGCTGGACTTCAGCTTTCCACATTTTCATGTGTATATATGTTAGTAGGCACTCCGAGGTCCGCACAACCCAGGGGTTGCTGTCCTACATGGAAACCATAAGGACGGCGGCACTTCGATTCGGGGGGGATGCCTGGTCAACCTACGACCAACAATTCCGGCACAGAATGTCAAGGGACCCCTCACGACGCTGGGACAACATCGACGGGGAGTTGTGGCTGAAGTACATGGTAACACAGCAGGTACTACAACCAGAATCAGGCGGACGGGGCGCAATCACACGCGTACAGGGGGACATCGCCAGTCAGGTATGCTGGGATTTCAATAAATTCGGCTGTAGCAGGGTTAACTGTAAGTACACTCACAAATGCGGTAAGTGTGGCAAACATTCCCATAGCTCTAGGACCTGCTTTCGAGGGAATGGGGTCCAACCGACCCCATACAAGCCCAATCAGCCTTTTCCTAACAGAAAACAACCCGGCAAGGCAGGTAAATTCAATGGCCCCTTCCCCCGTGGACCTCAATGAAATGGCACCTTGGTTACGCCAATATGCTAGGGTCAATTACAGAGATGCTAATTATTTATGGGTAGGTTTTAGCTTTGGCTTTAAGCTCGAGTTCCAGGGAAGCCGCACGGGTCGCCTGGCACGAAACTTGCGATCAGCCACGCACCAAGACACGGCAGGCTACGTGAAACAAAAACTACAAAAGGAAGTCGACCTTGGCAGGATGGCGGGCCCCTTCAAGGACACCCCCCTAGACAACCTCCAAGTATCCCCAATAGGCCTGGTGCCCAAGAAGCAGCCAGGATATGGTCAGCACCTGGGTAAGCATGCGGAGGAATTCCGTCTAATTCACCATCTATCCTATCCCAGGGGTAAATCTATAAACGACTTCATAGACACAGAGGCCTGCTCCGTTGTGTACGCCAGATTTGATGAAGCTACCCATATGGTTCAACAACTGGGAAAGGGAGCACTACTAGCAAAATTCGACATTCAGTCGGCCTTTAGAATTATACCAGTCCACCCATCCGATTTCGAGCTGCTAGGCATCAGATTCGAAGGTGAGTTCTATTTCGATAAATGCTTACCATTTGGCTGCTCCATATCTTGCGCCATATTTGAAACGTTTAGTACCTTCTTGCAATGGTGCATGCAATCGCATCTTCCAACGTGTCAGATCATGCATTACCTGGACGACTTCCTAAAGGGGGGCACAGCAGGCACCAGCCACTGCTCAGACAACCTCAACGGATGCGTGAATACACTTCAACAGCTTGGGGTTCCTATCGCGCACGACAAGACGGTGGGCCCCACAACCAAACTGACATTCCTAGGGCTGGAAATCGACACCATTGCGATGCAGATCAGAATCCCAGAGCCCAAGATCAAGGAGGCAACAAGGGAAATCCATGACATCCTGTCAACAGGTAACATCAAGGTCACAAAAAGGGCCCTTCAGTCCCTCATAGGCAAGCTTAACTTTATGTGCAGGGCTATACCAATGGCAAGGGCATTCAGCCGCAGGCTAATCGATCTGCTTAGCAAAGGTAAGCAACCATTTCACCACATTAGGATTACCAGCTGGGTCAAGGAAGACCTACAAATGTGGTTAACATTTCTTACGAGTTACAACGGCATTTCAGTGTTTCAGGACCAACTATGGGTGGACAGCGATTTCCTCCAGCTGTTTTCAGACGCAGCGGGCGGCGCCGGCTTTGGGGCCTACATGCAGGGCAAATGGTTTAACGGCGCATGGCCAACCCAGTGGGTGACGGATGGAATTAGATACGGTGACACACGTGTGTACTTGGGGAAGGGTTGCTCGCGAATGACCGACTAACAAAGGGCGGGATGATGCTTGCGCGGGATTATTCCCCGGGCACGGTGCCGAGTGGTGGCCCGGGGTGATTGGGTTACGAGGGGTGGTTGGGTTACAGACGTAATTAGCCCATGGTTTGGATACGCGCGATAAAGTCATTTAGTCGTTAGTACTAAATGTAATTATACGGTTTTTATGGAGTATTACGCCACTTTGAACTTAAATTCAGTGACATCACGGCGAGTCAACATAATGTAGAAGGAAAACCTGAAGTGATGCAGGTCTTAGACATTTATAGCACGGAAAAATGACGCAGGCAAACCAAAAATCATAATCACATTTTGGGGTTCGAACCCCCAATTATAATAGCCTGGCACGCAGTTGGTCTCAGACGTTTACCGTTTTGATGAAACCCACGAGTACGGGTATGGTGCTGACAAACCTAGAAACATGTTGGACCAGGAATTGAACCCAAGATCATAGGTTTCTGGCGTGCTCAAGGGATGCAAACTTGTGTTCAATCTGTTATTGATGTTCATGAGTGGAACTGTCACAATCATAATGTGTTTGGTTTAACGCCTCTTTGAGCAGTATTCCAGTTATATCACGGCGGACCCGCGAAGATCCGGGGTAGAATAGGTCTTCAGCAACCAATGCTTGCCGTCAAAGGCGAACATGCTTGTTGTAAGAGGCGACCTATGGGATCGGGTGGTCAGGCTCGCTGACATGGTTGATGCATGTCATTGATCCCAATTGTGTGGATCGATGCTTCTGATGTCAATCACTGGATTGTCTGGTCCTGATTCGATTATTTACAGACCGCCGTCATATAGCTGGAATATTGGTGAGTGCGGCGTCAAACAACAAACAAACAAAAGCATGTCTATGTATCTCTCTGTGTGTGTGTGTGTGTGTGTGTGTGTGTGTGTGTGTGTGTGTGTGTGTGTGTGTGTGTGTGTGTGTGTCTCTATGTGTGGTACTAGGCCTCTGAAACCATGCCGCAGTTCTTAACATGGACGTCCTTCTAAAACACAGTATACCGACTTCGAGTCGACCTTGTTTTATCCCTTTGATGCCGAGCGCCAGGCAGGGTATCAACAAGTCCCATGTATTAACGTCTTTTTTTTATGACGCGACCAGAGTTCGAACCAGCGACCTTCCTTCCTCAAGCCAGACGCTATATCCACTAAACTATCGAGATGGTCCGGTCTCAGTGTATATGTAGGTGGATGCGAATTTACCATAGAGCAACATTACGAGTTACTGACACGCGGAGGACTTGAAATCCCGTTCCCAAAAAACAAATACAACAGAAAACATTTCAGAATTTATATCAAATGACTCGATGTGATGTGGCCTTTATTTAGTATCAAAGAGAAAATTTGCAGAAATTAAAATTCTTTTTCCATATACTCGTAAATATTGACAATGATTCATTACTGATATCAATCGATTTTTTCTGTAACCTGAAAGCTTGTCCCGGAATGACACGAGTGATCACGAATTGACATGAAATAGAGTTGTCCGCCCTTGTCGTACACTGCCCCCCTTCAGTTGAATTCACGGGTAGCTGTGATTTTGTTGTTTTGTTGAATTCATTTATCTGAAACAAGAATGATACCAAACACAACGAAAAAGAATCGTTTTGGTGAATAGGCTTGTTGTTGTTGTTCATTGTGTGCTCTGAAAGGATCAACAAAACCATATCTGGCCCCACGATACAATCTTCACAAGATAATCAGTTAAGTATTGTTCTGAAACAATTTCTGGAATGTATAATGGCCAGCAAAAATGTCGACAAATAATAATGATAATAATAATAATATAATAATATATGTATATGTGTGTGTGTGTGTGTGTGTGCGTGTGCGTGTGCGTGTGTGTGTGTATGTGTGTGTGCGTGTGTGTGTATGTATGTATGTGTGTGTATGTGTGCGTGTGCGTGTGTGTGTGTGTGTGTGTGTGTGTGTGTGTGTTGCTCTACTCCATGCAAAAGCATGATCTAACATCACCATCTGGATCCTTAAATACTATTCGATATATCCGTTGTAAATAAACAAGTAACAAAACACTTCTCGGTGATTTGAACACGTAAGGTATCTCTGTTACTAATGTTTGTTTGTTTCTTGGTTAACGCAACACTCTGCTACAACCCAGCTAAATGACGGCGTGTTGACGTCGCAAACGGGTGGTCACACTTGCTGACTTGGTTGATGCATGTCAACGTATCCCAATTGCGTAGATCGATGCTCATGATATCAATCACTGGATTGTCTGGTCCAGACTCGAGTATTCGCTGACCTCAGTCATACAGCTGGAATATTGCTGAGTGCGGCGTTAAACAACAATCGATGCTCATGACATCAATCACTGGATTGTCTGGTCCAGGCTCGATTATTTACAGGCCGCCGGCATACAGCTGGAATATTGCTGAGTGCGGCGTTAAACAACAGACTTTCATATTTAAAGATTTGACAGTTGGTCCCGTGACCCTCACCTTGAAACAGATGACGTGACCTCAGGCTGTCTAGCCACTGCTTTACAATTGGATAATTCAGCGACATCCATTCAATGTTGGACTTTGTCTGACTAATCGCCTGCTCGAATGCCGCAGCACCAGGTCCGAGGTTAGGGGTCACCCTCACGAATTCCTCCAGCTATTCAAACAAATGGGGATGACGTCATTGCATTATCTCAAACATTAACAGTGATTGAGTGAGTAAGTTAGTTGTGTTTAACGCCGCTTTTAACAGTATTCCAGTCATATCACGGCGTGTCAGCTTAATGTGGTAGGAAAGCCCCAAGTGATGCAGGTCTTAGACGTTTACGACTTCAGTGAAAACCACGAACACGGGTATGGTGCTGACAAACCTAGAAACATAATCGGGGCGAACCGGGATTCGAAGCCACAACCATAGGTTTCTGGCGTGCCCAAGGGACGCAACTCTGCACAGCGAATCGCGGCGCCTTAGACGACTGAGCCACCCGTGCCCCCTCACATATTAACACAGTGGCAGGAGCATCGTATATTAAGTGTACATCCATGATTATGATGACCGTTGGGACAATAAACTATAACAAACAAATATCTCTGGCAACACTTCAAAACCCACTAAACGACCTACAAAACTTCAAGGCATTAGGCATTTTCCTTATTAATACAGGTCTACTAGGCCGCATTCAATAAACTACAAAATCATTCCATACCATGCCAAAATCCTAAAAAAAATATATAAAAATAAAGAAATAATTTTAAAAAACAAAAAACAAACCCACACAGCCACACAGCCACACAGCCACTCAAACTCCTTCAGTTCCCCAACCTATAGCACGGCATTCTTCAAAATTGAAAATTTCCCAAAAATTAGATAAGCAACCCTAAAATCCCCCAGGTTGCCCTTCCTCTCTCATGCATTCTCTCACCTCCTCCAGCTTGGCCTGGGTGTTGAAGGTTGCCGTCGCTGCTTTAATCATTGACGTGAAGCTACCGACACTGGCGCTGTAGCTGTCGAGAGACATGGATAATGTTAGCTAAAATAATGCACTCTCACTGAGTCTGAACACGTCTTGGTGATAAGGTCAAGGTTAGCGTAGTATCCACATTGTTTCCGCGACTATCCCGTAGTTTAAAGGGGGCATGGGAGTCGCATCTTGTGTATGAGGGAATATGATTTTACGCCGTTTTTTGTAACACTCCAGGAATGGCATGACAAGGAACACAAGATGATGGGCTCCACCACTGATTCAGATTGAGATTCGAACCGGACTTTCGGCGTGGCGAGCGAATGATTAGGACACCGTGACTCCGTGATAAGCTGACGGGCAAAAGAAACTAAACCAAACATTTGACTCTAGTCTAAAACAAAACAGACGCAAAATTTAGTAACAGTTGATGCTTTACTATGAAAAAAACAATTATTCAAAAACGGTATTTGAAAATGACAAGATCAAAAACCATGTACTTTAAGTTCTGCAGACACGTTAATCATGCTGGGTTCACTGTCCAGTATTCGATCACACCCGCAGAATCGACGTCGATCTCTTTTAAAGTTCCGTGCTACACACATGGTTCAGTATCGGATATCGATGTGACCCCACCCAATCACCACACCCACACACCCACACACCCACACACCCACACACCCACACACCCACACACCCAACCCCCTCCCCACCCGACCACCCCAACCCCCCAGCAACGATGCAGGCCCTAACACGACGAGAACACGACTCTCCTGAAATGCTGATTAAGGATCCTACGCCATTCTTCCTGCAGGGCAATTGCCAAGGCATCCCTCGTCAATGGCGGCTGTTGACGTTTCTGAATCCTGCGTCCAAGTTGGTCACAGAGGTGCTCTGTGGTCCGGTGGTCACTGTAATACGGTCACTGAAAGTCGCTAGTGACTCTAGATGTGTGGGTCACGGAGTGAGTGAGTTTGGTTTTACGCCGCTTTTAGCAATATTTCAGAAATATCACACATTGTACCCATGTCGGGAATCGAACCCGGGTCTTCGGCGTGACGAGCGAACGCTTTAACCACTAGGCTACCCGACCGCCCCGTGGGGCACGGAGAGCATACAGGCGGAGTCGCCTAGCAACGGTCCTTCTGCTTACTGGATGTCCAGGCTGTTTGCGGATGATGACGTCACAGGTAGGAATCTGGACCTTAGGTGAAGCACCCGTAAATACCGTTCTGTATATTATCGAGTCTGGACCAGACAATCCAGTGATTGACATGATGAGCATCGATCTACGAAATTGGGATATAAAGACATGCATCAACCAAGTCAGCGAGCCTGACCACCCGATCCCGTTAGTCGCCTCTTGCGACAAGCATAGTCACCTTTTACGGCAAGCATGGGCTGCTGAAGAAGTCGCAGATCTATTGTATCCCGGATCTTCAAGGGTCTTTTTATATTATAGATCTACTGACATGACATTATTAAATATAAGTTTTGAAACTCAGAATTGGGAACTGGTTTCAATGCTGGTATACTTGTTTTGGGTATTTCCAAATAACATCATCCGATAAGCTTCCACCGTTTTTTGGGGGGTCTGTTAACGTTGAAGAAATGAATTAGCATGCGCCCCTTGTAATATGGAAATCTTCATAGATCACGGGTAACCAATCAGTGTAAAAAAATGCATATAGATATTGCCTGAAGTTTATTTCCGCTGTCCTATAGACGGCATCCCAGTCTCTTGTCACGCCAGCAAATACAAATCGTCTAGTGCCCCTTTAAACGCTAACAGCCGTGACTGGTCCGAGATCCATAGAGTGGACTTTTACTCCTCCGACGTCCGCGCCTTGTCTTATCTCATTTATAAAAGGCTTTATATATGTGACTTATACTTTGAGATTTCCGAAATTGCTAAGGGAGACGGCGTGAAGAGCGAACGCTTTAACCATTAGGCTACCCTACCGCTCCATGTCAATAAAAAATAAAAGTATTTATTAATGCAATATTGCAGGAAAGTGTTTGGGTAACGTTACACCGCTTTAAAAACGTGGCTACGCCATCGCCACAAAATGCCAGCCTAATGTGGGGGTGGTGAGGTGAGGTGAGGTGAAACAGGGTTTAACGTCGCGTCCAAGATTATTGCACTTATATAGCGATGTACGTGTGTGTGTGTGCGCGCGTGCGTGCGTGCGTGTGTGTGTGTGCGTGCGTGCGTGCGTGCGTGCGTGCGTGCGTGCGTGCGTGCGTGTGTCTGCTTGTACTGGTCTGGACTGATGCCGATTTATAGTGCTAGCTCACTGAGATACCATGCCGAAGTTTAACATGAATACCCCACTCAAACACAGTATACTGACTCCGAGCCGACCAGTCCTTGTTTTAGCCCCTTAATGCCGAGCGCCAGACAGGGTAACAACAAGTACCATCTTTTAACGTCTTTTGATATGACGCGGTCGGGGAAATGAAGTGCAAAACTCATACTGTTACCACAACCAGAAGGATGTCCGGTATATCAAGGGTCTCGATTAATGGGGTTTCAATGTACACAATTGTCTTCTTACTCGTTTCGAAGTACATCGTATTTCTCCCTGATGAAGTCCCACACGAACGGCTGTGTGAAGGGGTTGATCCCGGGGGCTGACGCAATAACACCGGGACCATCTTGTTTGGGGATCTCACTCGGCGTGATCGCACGCTCCAGCAACCTGAAACACGTGCCCCTAATTAGTGTTTGTTTGTTTGTGTTAAAACGCCGCACCAAGTTATATTCCAGCTATGTGACGGCAGTCTGTACATAGTCGAGCCTGGATACGACAATCCAGTGATTGACATGATGAGCATCGATCTACGCAATTTGACACGCATCAACCAGGTCAGCGAGCCTGACCAACCGATCCTGTTCGTCACCTCTTACGACAAGCATGGGTTTCTAGAGATGACTTCTTACCAGGATCTTCACGACGGCCTGCAATTGAGCCTGATTAAGACAAATCAGTGATTGATATTATGAGCATTCACACAATGACATCACCGTGCCTGACCCCCTGATCCACACATTGCTATATCTGCTCTACCGGAGCGCTCTTTAAATCACCAATATCATCATCATCGTCATCATCATCATCATCATCATCACCATCATCAAGTCTCTACACATTGCTTCAATGGCAGGGTTGAACTTCGCAAAACGTCCATGCCTGCAAGGGGGCTCATTTGAGGTCCAAAAGTCATTGACGACCTTTGGTTGTTTGTTTTTTCACGCCGCACTCAGCAATATTCCAGCTATATGACGGCGCTCTGTTAAAGAACAATCGAGTCTTCACCAGAAAATCCTGTGATTTATATCATGAGCATCGATCCCCGCAATTTGGATACGATGACATGCATCAACCAAGTCAGCGAGCCTGACCGCCCGATCCCGTTAGTCACCTCATAAAAGTCACCTTTTACGGCAAGCATGGGTTGCTGAAGACCTATTCTACCCCGGATCTTCACGGGTCTGACGACCTCTGTCTACAACAGACACCCGGATCACAGCCACGCCCCATAGTTACGTCATGTTGTCATGGGCGATGGAGGGACACAGTGCACACAAGCCAGTGAAGCTTTCACGATGGAACATGTTCCGTCATCTATCAGACGCTTACATCTCAATAATAAAGTCTTCCTGAGAACACGCTAATGCCCTCAGCATGTCGCTCTTGGTAGACAGAGATGTCTCAGCTTGGTAGCTGTCGTACAGGTGGTACCAGTCGTCGGCCACGCCCTCCGATATACCCGTGCACAGCACCGTCAGTAACAGCTCCGGGGTGATCCTAGAAACATGCCGCGAAGATTTTGAACTACAGTAAACTACGGTTATAATGAATTAGGAGACCACTAATTTTAGTTCGTAATAACCGTAGTTCGTTATAAGCATACATAAAGCATATATACAACAAATGGTCGGGACTAAAAATAAGTTCGTTATATCCGTCAGTTCCTTATAAGCGTGTTCGTTATAAACGTAGTTTACTGTAATTACATCATGAGCGCACTTTCCAATTTATAACTGCCCAAATGCGTTTAGAGTATGATATGTCTAGTCAAAGGTTTGCTTGAAAACACAAGTCTTTCAAACGTTTGTCAGACTTTCTGATTCTGTGATTCCCGGCGGTAGATTGTTCCATAACACTGGAGCAGAATGGTAAGAAGAAATGTCACCATATGTTATGGTAGGGTCTTTTGATCGGAGTGAGCGTGTAGGGGCTCAATTCCTGTAAGTTTCTTTGTTTGTTTGTTGTTTAACGCCGCACTCAGCAATATTCCAGCTATATCAATACTGTCTGTAAATAATGGAATCTGGACCAGACAATCCAGTGATTGACATCATGAGCATCGATCTACGCATTCGGGAAATAAGGACATGCATCAACCAAGTCCAATGACCAATTCTAACCCGGAGTCGTTACTGGAGCATCTGTCCTGTGAGGGACACGACTACCGCAAAGTTGTGCTGTGTCATGTCATAGTCACGTGTGCGACCGCTTCCGTGGTCTAGTGGTTGAGCGTCCGCCCGGAGAAGCGGAAGAGCCGCGTCATACCGAAGACGTAAAAATATGGTTCTTGTTGTTACCCTGTCTGTCGCTCGGCACTAAGGGGCTTAAACAAGGACTGGTAGGCTCGGAGTCTGTATATGGTGTCTGAGTTGGTTATTCATGTTAAACTGCGGCATGGTATCTCAGTGGGCTAGCACTATAAATCGACATCATTCCGGGCTCGTTCAACGATGAAACGTCCAATCGCTACAAGCAATACCGGCAGTATAAACAGTAAATATTACAGCTGGGATATTTGCTGATGACAGAATGGTTTTTGGTCCCTGCTTTTGGATCCGTGAAAGGGGTAGTTGAACCAAAAAAATAATGACATTTATTTCAAACTATCCAGCATGTCCGACTTACAGTAGACCACAATTTTCTGTCCCTGACGTTACCGCGTGCGTACTCAGCAATATTTGTTTCTTGTTTAACGCCGCACTCAGAAATAGTCCAGCTGTATGACGGCGGACTGTAAATAATCGATTATGGACCAGACAATGCAGTGATTGATATCATGAGCATCGATCTACGCAGTTGGGATACGATGACATGCATCAACCAAGTCAGCTAGCCCGACCACCCGATCCCGTTAGTCGCCTCTTACGACAAGCATAGTCACCTTTCACGGCAAGCATGGGTCGCTGAAAACCTGTTCTATCGCTGATCTTCACGGTGTGTACTGAAGTAGCTATGTGACAATCACGACAGGAATATACTGTAATGAAGATATTTGTACATGCTTGTGAAGCCTCGCCAACATAAAGACGTTCAGTAACTGGATAGTCTGGTCCGGACTGGATTATTTACTGACCGTCTTCATATAGCAGGAATATTACTGAGTGCGGCGTTAAGCTAAAAACAAACAAATACTTCAGGACAAGGTAGGTCAAGGCCGTACCTACATAATTTAAAAATTGCGTAAGACTTGTGTTGCGCAAGTTGCACCTGTAGATCATTAAATACTTTCTACTTCCAGTCAACAATAACACCGATTCTCATGAATAAAACAAATTAGAAAAATACAGAAACAACAATAAGAACGAATTTATGGGAAACCAAAAGGCAGTACGTTATTTCATAAGTGTAGCATGTCTTAAATTCTTTATATCGGAAGTACGTTTGATCACGCTTTCGTCATATTATAAGTACGATATATTTTGGGCACGACGATAAGAAATGGTGTTAACGTCGCTTTCAAGATTATCTCCCACATGTAGAGACGACCAAGCACACGTGTGTGTGTGTGTGTGTGTGTGTGTGTGTGCGTGCGTGCGTGCGTGCGTGCGTGCGTGCGTGCGTGCGTGCGTGCGTGCGTGCGTGCGTGCGTGCGTGCGTGTGCGTGCGTGCGTGTGTGTGTGTGTGATTGCTCATGTGGAAGAGGTCACACATGCCGGTTTTGTAGTGCACAACCACGAAGATGTCATGACCAAGTTTAACATGGATACCACACTTGAGACGGACAGTCCTTATTTTATCTCCTTAATGCCGAACGCCAGGCAGGGCAACAACAAGTACCATATTTTAACGTGTTTAGGTATGACGCGGCCAGGGGATCGACGACCTTCGGCTCTACGGGTAGACATTCTTCGATACGTCTTAAGCATGTTATATAACAACCACGTCATACGTGTATCATGAGTTCGTTATGTAATAAATTCGTTATAGAATGGGTTATATATACCTACAGTTCATGACAGCCAACAATTCACCAATTCACCATACCGGAATTGACTGTCCATATTTCTCGTTCTTGCTGACTCACTTATTATCCTGTGGGTTGTCCTTCCAGGCCAGGAACAGATCCCTCGCCTCCTGCAGACAGTCCTGGTTGAAGACATTACAGGCCGCACTAGCCACCTCGCGTTGAGCAAACCTACAATGTCAGACAATCCTGACTGAAGACATAATCACCCCACACTGGAAACGTGTCATCGTGTCATCGATCATCGATCAGATCGTCTTGAGTGGGCGCCGCCATTTTGTTTGAAGCAAATGCAAGAGGTGGAATCTTATTGGTCAAAGGAGGGACATAGAAGGGACATAACTGGTGACTGGTGATCGACAGGTGATCGAGCCCAGCAATTCCCAGTCAGTTAACTCCCTTGCCTCGGGAAGATGTGTAATATCATCTTAAACATTATGGACGTTTTAGACGTAATTCCAGTCAATGAAGGTGTTTTAGAAACCGCGTATGAGTAAACTGTTTGAGTGAACCAATATATTTACGACTCTATCTGCCCCTCCGCCGGCTCCCGTAAACCATAAAACGTGAAGGCGGCGTCGCTGCTTGATCTCAGGAACTCCTGCAACAGACAGCTAAATGTCAACTGTGACCACGCGTTCTTACAAGGTGGTGTGGGGCGGTCGGGTCGCCTAGTGGTTAAAGCGTTCGCTCGCCATGCCGAAGACCCGGGTTCGATTCCCGACATGGGTACAATGTGTGAAGCTCATTTCTGGTGTCCCCCGCCGTGATATTGCTGGAATATTGCTAAAAGCGGCGTAAAACCATACTCACTCACTCACTCACTCACTCACTCACTCACTCACTACAAGGAGGTGTTATATACTATCAGGGAAATATATCCTGTTTCTCTGCTGAGGCATATTTTTCTTCACTTCAAATGCCTTCGTGGTGTAGTGGATAGAGCCCGAAGAGTGGAAAGTCGGCGGTTCGATCCCCAAGTCGCATCATACCATAGGACGTACTTGTGATGGTACTTGTTGTTACCCTACCATGTTAAAACTGCGGCATGGTAGCACAGTGGGCTGGCAGTACAAAACTCCACTTAGTACAGACATGTTCTGCAAGCCGGGTCATCGAATCCCCACAGTGGAAAATATATAGGCACCTCGTCTTAACCGGTGTATCGACATAATGGAGTTTGAGGTAACGAGGTCTCACGTGTAAGCAAAGATTTGGTAGACCCAGTGAGAAGTGGTGTTTCCACGATTACGTGAGCTTGTCTTTGGTCGACTCACTCACTCACTCACTCATTCCTCCCCATACCTGGAAGGCGGGGTATATCTCCGTGCCCCGGATCATCGTCTATGTACACCAGCTTGTCCCGAATCGACTCACTCACTCACTCACTCACTCACTCACTCACTCACTCACCTGGAAGGCGGGGTATATCTCCGTGCCCCGGATCATCTCGTCTATGTACACCAGCTTGTCCCGAGTCGACTCACTCACTCACTCACTCACTCACTCACTCACTCACTCACTCACCTGGAAGGCGGGGTATATCTCCGTGCCCCGGATCATCTCGTCAATGTACACCAGCTTGTCTCGGGCTGTGCTCCAGGGATAGTAGTTTAACTCCGCCGACAGGTACTCAAGCGTCTGCAGCCCAATCAGCTGTTGAAGGTAGCCAGCCCTGAGAGAATTACAAATCCTTCATACTTTTTTTCAGCGATGGTGAGTGTGTGATTATTGCTGAATGCCGCATTTCTCAGCCTAGGTACACGAGATTCGAGATTCTTCAAAACACGTTCAGGAAGCCTAGTGGACAAAGCGGTGCGCCGTCACACCGAAGACCAGGTTCGATTCTCCACATGGGTACAATGTTTTCAGCCTATTCTTGGTGTCCGCCTGGCTAGAAAGCGCTTAAAGCGGCCTAAAACCACGCCCACTCACTGAATACCCTCATTCCCCAAAACAGCATCAAGATCGGAGACACCTTCATGAAAGGTCACGTCAGATGATCTCTGAGCCAACTTTGACCGACCAATCTAAATGGAGGAAGATTGGATTATTGAGCCAATCAGACAAAAGCTTTCTGAAACGATTCCGCTTTATTTCAAATTTATTTCGATTTGCACAAATGAAAACCGACAAAGACGTGCAGATACCATGCCAGTCAGAACATACACGTCAATTCACACATTTTGGAATTCGTATTAAGTTCGCAATAGCTGCTTCATTGTTTGGGGATTTATTAACGCTTGAGCTATAGGACGACAGCCTGTAAATAATTGGGTCTGGACCAGATAATCCAGTGACTGATGTCATGAGCGCCGATGGGATACGATGACAAGCAGCAACCAAGTCAGCGAGCCTGCCAGGGCCCACTTGCACAAAGCCATCTTAGCGCTACGACTATTGTAAGCCTATGTTAAAGTATGGGAGTTACGATCATCTTAGCGCTAAGATCGCTTTGTGCAAGTGGGCCCTGATCCCGTTAGTCGACTGGTACGGGTTGCTGGGGAACGTTCCACGCCCCCGTGGGAATATAGTGTTGGACAATATACCCAGCAGCCACAGCCGGACGTACAAGGCTCTGGTGGTCATAGCGGTCAGCGTCTCCCTGGACGGCGTGAGACGTTGCTCATGACATCAGTCACTGGTTTGGTGGTTTTACCTGGCCAAATCCATGGCGTCGTTGATGATCTGTGCTCGATTTATCGGTATGATCACCTGTGAAGACAATGTTGCATAAATATCGATGATGGTCGGAATACTCTCAGGTACACGACTATTGCAATAGTTCCATTGTATTTTACTTTAGTTGTCATTATGAGGCAACTTGGAATACAATTTGGTTTGGTTTGGTTTGTTTGTTGCTTAACGCCGCACTCAGCAATATTCCAGCTTTATGACGGCGGTCTGTAAATAATCGAGTCTGGACCAGACAATCCAGTGATCGATATCATGAGCATCGATCAACTCAATTGGGATCGATGACATGTGTCAACCAAGTCAGCGAGCCTGACCACCCGATCCCGTTAGTCGCCTTTTACGGCAAGCATAGTCGCCTTTAACGGCAAGCATGGGTTGCTGAAGACCTATTCTACCCCGAATCTTCACGGGTCGGAATACAACTTAATTGATTCTTACAACAAGTATAGGCTATCGCGGCGGCGTCTCTCTGGAATCAACCCGTGAAGTATTTAAACAGAAAGGTTCTAAATATTTTTAAAAATGTAAAAATGTGTAAAGTTGGATTTTTAATGTCGACTACATGTTATGAGTTGCTGTGTACATGAAGACAGGATTGACTTGAAGCTATAATAATCAACCATCCACGGAGATCCGGGTTAGAACTGGTCTCATCAACCCGTGCTTGTTTCACCCCGTGAAGATCCGGGTTAGAATTGTCTTCAGCAACCGTGTTTGTTTCACCCTGTGAAGATCCGGGTTAGAATTGTTTTCAACAACCCGTGCTTGTCTCCTCCGTGAAGATCCGGGATATTATTGTCTTCAGCAATCCATGTTTGTTTCACCCCGTGAAGATCCGGGATAGAATTGTCTTCAGCAACCCGTGCTTGTCTCCCCCGTGAAGATCCGGGATAGAATTGTCTTCAGCAACCCGTGCTTGTTCCACCCCGTGAAGATCCGGGTTAGAATTGTCTTCAGGAACCCGTTTCACCCCGTGAAGATCCGGGATAGAATTGTCTTCAGCAACCCGTGCTTGTTTCCCCCGTGAAGATCCGGGATAGAATTGTCTTCAGCAACCCGTGCTTGTTTTACCACGTGAAGATCCGGGTTAGAATTGTCTTCAGCAACACGTGCTTGTTTTACCACGTGAAGATCCGGGATAGAATTGTCTTCAGCAACCCGTGCTTGTTTCTCCCGTGAAGATCCGGGATAGAATTGTCTTCAGCAACACGTGCTTGTTTTACCACGTGAAGATCCGGGATAGAATTGTCTTCAGCAACACGTGCTTGTTTTACCACGTGAAGATCCGGGATAGAATTGTCTTTAGCAACCCTTGCCAGTCGTAAGAGACAACTAAAGGGATCAGGTCAGGCTCGCTGCTCGCTGCTTGTAATCATATCCAAGCTGCGTTGATCTGAGCTCATGATGTCAATCACTGGCTTGTCTGGTCCAGACTCGATTATTTACAGACCGCCGTCATATAGCTGGAATATTGCTCAGTGCGGCGTTTAACAAACCATCACAATCAATCAGAATAAAAAAGTCTCAACTCATGCTTCATACTTCATGGGGGGCATGGGTGGCCCCGTCGTCTAAGGCGCCGCAATTCGTTGTGCAGAGTTGCGTCCCCTGGGCACGCCAGAAACCTATGATTGTTGGTTCGAATCCCGGTTCGCCCTGATTATGTTTCTAGGTTTGTCAGCACCATACCGGTGCTCGTGGGTTTCACCGAAGTGGTAAACGTCTGAGACCTGCATCACTTCGGGCTTTCCTCCCACATTAAGCTGACAGGCCGTGATATAACTGGTATACTGTTAAAAGTGGCGTTAAACCAAACTCACTCACTCATACTTCATGAGTGCGGCACTAAACAACAAACAAACAAACATACAAAAGTCAAGCCTGTCTTCATTGATTCTAATGTTCTTAATGTTACTGAAATATATTTCCCTGTTTTGCAAAATAGAGACTGAACAATAGATTACAGCATTTGTAAACAAGTACTTGCATTATGGTCCGTCTTCAGCTGCTTGATGATATTCCTCCAGTTGTCTTCATCATAGTTGACGCGGTAGTAACCATGGTGACGGATATTACCCAGAATCCAACTCGACTCGTCACTCGGATCTGGTATCGTTACGGTGGTGTCGTAAACATCTGAAATGCACACGATGCTGTCAGTAATTTTATAAAGAGATTTATTCCAATATTAGTTTGTGTATATACAGTAAACTACGGTTATAACGAACTTAAAGGGACCACTAATTTTAGTTCGTTATAACCGTAATTCGTTGTAAACATATATACAGCATAATTATATACAGCAAATGGCTGGGGCCAAAAAAAACAGTTCGTTATATCCGCCAGTTCGTTATAAGCGTGTTCGTTATAAACGTAGTTTACTGCAATTGTTGTGTTTTGTCTGGAGACACTCATTCTCATCAACGTAGGCATGTTTTGCAATAAATATATACTCACTGATAAAGAATCGCGAATACAATATATGTTGGTTAATATATGAAGAATGACTCATGTTCAAGAGATATTAGATTGGTTTAATGCATACTTGTATGTTGTGAGAAACGACGTTCATGAACGCATCACATATGACGTCATAGATCCATGACTCGAGATGCACCATTTGTCTCGTGAGGATTCGCGTGTAAAGTTTGATAATCACGTGCAGTGTATTGTGATAAGAATAAACACACTCTGTGGTAACACTGATTGTTAGTTTTGTCATTAAGTGGCACACATTGGAAACATCTCTTCTTAACGTACATTCGCTCTTCACGCCGAAGACCCGGGTTCGATTCCCGACATGGGTACAATGTGTGAAGTCCATTTCTGGTGTCCCCCGCCGTGATATTGCTGGAATATTGCTAAAAGCGGCGTAAAACCATACTCACTCACTCACTCTTAACGTACATACTTCTCTATATGTTTCCATGGTTCGCGTTTCTTTTGGCGGTTAGTATATGTGTAATCAAAGGCCCCGTTCAATAAAGCGAGTTTGGTATCTGTCGGGGCAACATGCCAAAAGACGTTCGTACTTGATGTTACCCTGCCTGCGCTCTGCTTTAAGGGGCTAAACCAAGGACTGGTCGACTGGGGGTCAGTCTACTGTATCTGAGTGGGGTGTCCATGTTAAACCGCGGCATGGTATCCCAGTTGGATAGCGCTATAAAACATGACGTATGCAGCACGTACAAGCAGCCACTTACACACGTGCATGCATATAAGACCTATAATCTTGAAAGGACATTAAACCCCATTTCACTTGACATTATGACTAGAGCCTAGTTCATTTAAACACGTCCCGTGAAGAATCCGGGTTAGAATTGGCCTTCAGCAACCACTGCTTGTCGTACGAGGCGACTAACGGGATCGGGTGGTCAGGCTCGCTGACTTGGTTGATGCAAGTCATCGTATTCCAAATGCGTGGATCGATGCTGATAATGTCAATCACTGGATTGTATGGTCCAGACTTGATTATTTACAGACCGCCGTCATATAGCTGGATTATTGCTGAGTGCGGCGTAAAACAACAAACCACCTACCTACCTTATTCAAACACCGTGTTAGTAACTTTCTCATGATCAGTTTATGAGTTTATTAGAATTATACATAAACAATGTCTCAATAATTTACCAACAAGGTACTAATTACAACGCCCAGACACGAATTTAAATGGGTTTCAGACACGTAAGCATCAAGACTGTGTAATTGCAAAAACAAACATGTTTTGTGTGAACATGAGAACGACGAAAAGATATTTTATCTCCGCATCCTTTGATTTTATTGTGCAGCTTGGGTGCAAATTTAAAATCTGTTTTCTTGTTTCCTCGATAACCAAGGGGATTATATTTAAATTCTATTATAATAAACACCACTGATTAATTCGCTACCATAGCACGTTTGAAAAGTGACGTTACCATGTACTCTCCAACAGAAATTGTATCGAACTCGAGCGTGATTTGCTTCATCTATATTCAGCGGCGGACGTGACATTCGAATCAGACTTAAAACAAAACTATAGTAGTGAAGTATCAAGGGTATTATCAAGAAAAAGATTATGATAATGTTGGAGATTTTATACAATGATCTTCACTTGATGTTTACAATTCGATAAATCCGGACTAGAATGAACCCCGGCGTCTGTTGTTCGCGAATTAACCAAACAAATATAGTCGTTGGTCAGATGGAGATTTTCCTAAGACATTCCCTGGGTTAAATAAACTCGCTTTGGTATTGGTCAAATAATAAGCGTTTGATGAGTACTTAAAGGCAAACTTACCTGCCGTGTCGTTTCTCAGCATCCAAACTATGTCAGCATCGGTGACGTCGAAGTTCTTCTCCTGGCTGGTGGTGAAGGTGAAGGGGACGTTCCAGGTGTAGCTGCAACACAGAGACAATCCTCCTTATAACTGCCGACTCTCACGCTCTTAGTAAAGTCACTGTCACGCTCTTAGTAAAGTCGCTGTCACGCTCTTAGTAAAGTCGCTGTCACGCTCTTAGTAAAGTCGCTGTCGCGGTCTTAGTACAGTCGCTGTCACGCTCTAAGTAAAGTCGCTGTCGCGGTCTTAGTAAAGTCGCTGTCGCTGTCTTAGTAAAGTCGCTATAAGGCTCTTAGTAAAGTCGCTGTCACGTTCCTAGTAAAGTCGATGTCGCGCTCTTAGTAAAGTCGCTGTCACGCTCTTAGTAAAGTCGCTCTCCTGCTCTTGGTAAAATCGCTGTCACTCTTTTAGTAAAGTCACTGGCACGCTCTTAGTAAAGTCGCTGTCACGCTCTTAGTAAAGTCACTGGCACGCTCTTACTAAAGTCGCTGTCGCGCTCTTAGTAAAGTCGCTGTCACGCTCTGGAGGTGAAGATCATACATAGCACGTAAAGTTCTATAATAAATTTATTAATTTAAATTCAGTTTCAATTTCTGAAACTCCGGTCCGTAATTTTCACGAGCATTGTCCCATAAACTTTCTAAGTATCAATTTTATGCTTTATTTTTATTTCCGTTGACCAACCTAACGAAAACTTTCCTTTAATCCGGACGATACCATTCCAAGTCAAATCAAAACGGAATGTCAAATTCTTGATTACCGCAACATGGGTCCGAGGTAATGTCCCTTTAAAAGGTAATCATCGAGTGCTCATTTCTAGCGTAACTTAATCACAAAGATTCTACATATAAATCCCTACTTAAGAAATAAACGTGAGTGAGTGAGAGTTGTTTATCGTAGAATAAACAATGACCACGAGTCGTTTATTTCTTATATGAGATATCAACATTATGTACAGCCTGTTTAAGGATGTCAATAAATTGTACAAGTTTTAAAAATATTTACCAGTAATTTAATAATGATGATTCCCTCAATAGAATCCGTCCTCGGCAATGTCGGACAAGCCTATTTTATGTACAGGTGGGTATTTCCCGCATATTCACACAATCCTAACGTCAATTGTACCTGTACCTCTTCTCCCAAAACCGATTGTCTCCCACTCCCGCTTTCAGATGCATCAACCAAGTCAGCGAGTCTGACCAACCGATCCCCTTAGTTGCCTCTCATGACAAGGATAGTCGCCTCTTACGACAAGCATGGGTTGCTTAAGACATATTCTCTACCAGGATTTTGATGCTATTGACGCATGTTACGAGTTTATCATTACCAGTTCAACAAGTAGAGATTTATCTTCTGTGAAATATGATTGTATGACAATGTGAGATCTATCTTACGGCGCAAGTGAGTTCGGTATGGTCACTCAAAGGTGAACAGGGTCAATTATGACGTGACATGTAGATGACGTCGTACGTAACACGATGACGTCATGGTGTCCGTGCAGGTCGACCGACCGACTTCATAGTTTTTTACAAGACGACGAGTGCCCAATCAGAAAGCTGCATTTTATTACGAGTAATGAGAAAGGGTTTTATTGATCGCATGCTTAAGGTGGAAGAGGCTGATGGCTGTGTTTCAACAAATATTCCACTATCCATTGAATATTGAAAAATACGCCACAGGTGAATCAGAGGTATCAAACCACAATAACAACTTCTGATTGAAGTACTCATTTGACGGCGGCATAACGCTTAAGATAGTATTGGTATAGGAAAGTTACATGTTTCTCAATCATTGTTGGTGTGCAGTTTCATATTATGCCATCAGCACAGTATGTAGGACACAAGATTATCAGTAGCGGGTCTGAGAATATTCAGATTATATGTGGCAATAACATTTAAACAGAATATATTGTAAGTCATCTTCCCGAGGCAAGTGAGTTAACTGGCTATAAAAGTCCAGTTTCCACCCTTGCGGAACTAGGCTGGTATTATGGAGTTACATTTTGGCTGGACTAACGAGTCTATGCATAGTCCAATCAAAATCGCGCAACGAAATCGAAATTCGGTTCGTAAACTGGCACGCAGATTTTGGTCGATTGCAGGTTTGGCAAAGCATGTGCACCGCCAACTCGTTGTCAATAGATCTTTTCCAAACTTTGTCACGTTTTTAATCAAGGTGTTCAAGTGATTTGGTGCATTTCGCGATGTACGGCCCGTTTTATTACAATATAGATCTTGATTATCGATCAGTTCGTCCTGACTGGACGCCGCCATTTTGTTTGAAGCAAATGCGAGTGATACGAGGGGTGGATTCTGACTTTTAAAGTCACTTAACTCTCTAGCCTTGGGAGATTGATTAAAGGTAGGCCAAGAGATCATCACGAGAGTTACCAAAGAGCTTGAAATTTGGCTCTTCACTTTCTCAGACTGTCATGCTTTTATTGCGTCAAAAGAAAGTCGCGAAGTCACAATAATGAGGTTCTGTGCAGAAATAAACCCAGCATGTTTCGCTTTTGTTTCATAAGGGGTATCTACTTCATGTTTGCTTAAATAGCCCGACTTCAGAATTTTAATGCTTCTCGTGTTGAGGTTACTGATACAAGTACAAACGACAAAACCCTGTGTATAAGTAACCTCTGCTAAAATCATTGTCCATTGTACGATTACGACGTATCATAAGCCTATCCAAACAGAAATTGTCCGGATTAATGAGGAGCGGTATAACGGGGTCTTACTTGTACGGAGACACATATTTCCCGGGGTCGGAGGAGGCGGGGTCGAACAGGAACCTCTCCTGGGTGAGACGGATCTGCTTGGGACCAGTCCTGGACATGCTGACCACAGGGTAGTTCATCTGCAGTGTCCACGTCTTCATTGTGTCCACCACGAGGGCAGTCTTCTTCTCTTCCTCGGCTTGCTACAAGAGTGAGTGAGTGAGTGAGTGAATTGGGTTCAACATCGGTTTGCAGGTTCGAATCCCAGCGAGGATTAAAATTCTTTGTGTTTATCAAAGTGTTGTTGCTGTATGCCTAATAATATTTCTCCACACAGGAAGCTCAAACATCTGATTACTGTTTAACCATGTTTAGTTAGTGGCGATAGGCCACCTGGTAAAATACTGACTGATTAGTAGAGGTTACTAACATTTGAGTTTAGTGTATGAGTGGACAGTGAATTTCACTAACTAAGTTAGTAAATTTTACAAACTATTTCTGTCAATTATTATCGAACAGATGATAAAACCAACTGAGAGGTATAGTTTCGTTTGCCGCTTAGTTTCTATAACCATAACAGATCTCACCGCTCCAAGAGCCACCCAGAGGTCATCGTGGTCAGCGTTGCTGTATTCACGGGACAGGAGGTATCTCTGTAAGACGTCAACACACGATCAACATGCAGTGACCAGAAAGTCAGCTCACAATGTCAACGCCAGAAAAAAATCCGTTTAGAATATCTGCTGAAACACTTCCATAGGATGAAAAAGACAAAATAGCAATAAGAGTATATGAATATCAGTGATGACACCAGGTGTTCCCGAAAAGGTAAGTGCTCACACAATTTACAGTAAACAGGCCTAAAGTTGCCTGATAATTTACAGCCTGTAAATAATCGAGTCTGGACCAGACAATCCAGTGATTGATATTATGAGCAGCGATGACACGTTATCAGCCAAGTTAGGGCCCGATTCACACAGGCGCCTCTTAAGACAAGCTCACATGTCTGTATTTTGGGCCATTGGCCCTTTACTGAATAAACATGTCTGTCTGTTTGTCTGTTTGTCTGTCTTAAGACAAGCAGAGGTGAATGGAGAACATTTCTAACCGGACCCTGAAGGGTCAGCATAGATGAAGTGGCAAGTCAAGGTGTTGAACCAAAAGTATCAAATTATCCGAATTTGACTTTCTCCAAGGTTAGTCCAACCTGTTCATAAGTACATATGTTCATATTCATAAACCTCACCGTCAAGCCTCTCTGAAAGGTTCCTGCCCCGATGAAGAACTTCAACATCCGTAGCACAGACCCTCCCTGTGAACGTAGAGGGAGAATTAGGAACCGTTGTTCATCATCATCATCATCATCATCGTCGTCGTCATCAGCACAACATCATCGTCGTCGGCGGCGTCATCAACATCGCCATTTTATTCATTATCTTAATATGAAAGGATTCCTTTATCATACCGACAAAACAGCGGGAGACCCACCTTGTTATAGGAGATAGCGTCAAATATTTGTTCAATCTCTTCCGGACTCTCCACGTCGACATAGACCGGATGTGACGTCACGGTGCCATCGAATTCAAACACTGGCATAATTTCATCAAGGACAAACTGGTTATACTGTACGAAAAAAAGAGGTTATAGTGTATTTGCTCTGTAGTGTACCTTAAATTCTTTCATATGCGAGTAAAGTATAATGATTAGAAAATACACTGTTTGAACATGTACACCACCAAACTGTTAAATGGCTATAATCAATATTTCCGTGATTCAGATAGACAACCCACTGAACATATTGAACTCAACCCATGCCGCCTCACTCAGTATCTCAGCTCGCACCAGGTGAGGTGGAGTGAAATTGGGTTTAACGTCGCGTCCAAGATTATTGCTCTTTACAGCGACGTGCATGCATGTGTGTGTGATTGCTTGTACTAGTCCGGACTAATGCCGATTTAATAGTGCTAGCTCACTGAGATACCATGCCGCAGTTTAACATGAATACCCAATCAGACACAGTATACTGACTCCGAGCTGACCAGTCCTTGTTTTAGCCTCTTCATGCCGAGGGCCAGACAGGGTAACAACAAGTTCCATCTTTTAACGTCTTTTGGTGTGACGCGGCCGAGGATCAAACCCCGGACCTTCCTCTCTCCGGGCGGAAACTCAACCCCTAGACCACGGAGGCGGTCTTAGATGACAACAAAGAGTTCGCGTTTTATTTAGTCATGGTAGCATGGAGATAAACACACTGTGTTTTCAATGTAGAGCTAGGTTACCTGTAGATTTAACCGCGACAAATTTAAAGTTTGAAACTTCATGCCGTGCGTTCGGTTTCAGATTCAATCCAACGTGGGTAAATGTACAGGTAAACTAGCTCTATATTGAAAACACAGCATGTTTATCTCCTAAATATACAATTTCTGTTTACCATATCCCAATCCGGTTCAATAACCTCGGCTCCAAAATACATGAAGAAGGTAGCGAACCCTTCGTTGAGCCACAGGTCATCCCACCACTTCATGGTGACCAGGTTCCCGAACCACTGGAACAATAAAGGGAGACAACTAGTAGGTTAAGAAGAGACCCGGGTTTATACGAGTTAAACAAGGAACGGTTTGGGAATACCGAAACCGAGGCAGCAATGGCGTAGTGATATCGCATGACGGTGCAGTAAACCGGTTAACGCCATAACCCACCGCGTACCGTTTGCATAACAAGGCGGTCTGTTTTGAAGAAGTTTGTTTTCTATAAACGGAAATTAAGCTTACGCTTTTATCTGAAGACAAATCTAACTGAAACAATTTACAGCTGGCAAGAAATGATAAAATATTCGATCTGGAATCCTTATTAAAAGGTAATTTCCGACGAAATAAGGTCTAAGTATTTTGAGGTAAATGATTAAGGGAGAGATTGTTAAGTTGATTTTACAAGTTTTTTTATTATCTGTACCCATTGGGAATTTTGCCGACTTGTTTAAAGGGGCTATCCGTGGCCCACAGTAATGATGTCCGTATAATAAACAAGGAACGGTTTGGGAATACCGAAACCGAGGCAGCAATGGCGTAGTGATATCGCATGACGGTGCAGTAAACCGTTTAACGCCATAAACCACCGCGTATCGTTTGCATAAGAGGACGTCTGTTTTGAAGAAAGTTTGTTTTCTATAAACGGAAATTAAGCTTACGCTTTTATCTGAAGACAAATCTAACTGAAACAATTTATAAATTCGTAAAAAGTTTACGTTGATCGCCATCTTGTGCTGTGTCACGTGCATGGAACTAGTTCTAATATAGATTCCTGCCAGTGGTGGTCGAGTTCCAACTGGACTGAGGCGAGCTGGGTCTTAATGATGAAATGTGTACGTTTAGTTTGTTCAGAAGCTCCTCGGTTAACTATCTGCACAATGGTGACCACCCACCTGATAAACTAGCTCATGTACTGACCACCCACCTGATGACCTCGTTCATGTATCGATCATCCACCTGACGAGCTAGTTCATGTATCGACCATCCACCTGATGAAATGGTTCATGTATCGACCACCTACCTGATGAGCTACTTCCTGTATTGACCACCCACCTGGTGAGCTACTTCCTGTATTGACCACCAACCTGATGAACTACTTCACGTGTTGACCACCCACCTGATGAGCTATTTCCTGTATACCACCCACCTGATGAGCTACTTCCTGTATTGACCACCCACCTGATGAGCTACTTCCTGTATTGACCACCCACCTGATGAGCTAGTTCGTGTATTGACCAACCACCCGATGAGCTACTTCCTGTATTGACCACCCACCTGATGAGCTAGTTCGTGTATTGACCACCCACCTGATGAGCTACTTCCTGTATTGACCACCCACCTGATGAGCTATTTCCTGTATACCACCCACCTGATGAGCTACTTCCTGTATTGACCACCCACCTGATGAGCTACTTCCTGTATTGACCACCCACCTGATGAGCTAGTTCGTGTATTGACCAACCACCCGATGAGCTACTTCCTGTATTGACCACCCACCTGATGAGCTAGTTCGTGTATTGACCACCCACCTGGTGAGCTACTTCCTGTATTGACCACCCACCTGATGAGCTAGTTCGTGTATTGACCAACCACCCGATGAGCTACTTCCTGTATTGACCACCCACCTGATGAGCTAGTTCACGTATTGACCACCCTCCTGATGAGCTAGTTCGTGTATTGACCTCCCACCTGGTGAGCTAGTTCGTGTATTGACCACCCACCTGGTGAGCTACTTCCTGTATTGACCACCCACCTGGTGAGCTACTTCCTGTATTGACCACCCACCTGATGAGCTAGTTCGTGTATTGACCACCCACCTGGTGAGTTACTTCCTGTATTGACCACCCACCTGATGAGCTATTTCCTGTATTGACCACCCACCTGATGAGCTAGTTCGTGTGTTGACCACCCACCTGATGAGCTAGTTCGTGTGTTGACCACCCACCTGATGAGCTACTTCCTGTATTGACCACCCACCTGGTGAGCTAGTTCCTGTATTGACCACCCACCTGATGAGCTACTTCCTGTATTGACCACCCACCTGGTGAGCTAGTTCGTGTGTTATGACGACCATGACTTGCTGCTTGGCGGAGTTGCTGGTGACGCCCGCCGTGAAGAACAGCCTGATGGCTCTGTAGGTGATAAGGCCCCAGTTCTCCATTGCCCCGGCCGCGAAGTCGGGGATAGCCACCATGTCTGCAGACACAAGGACTTCGGTTATTGTTCCTCCTTGAAAGATCCTAAACACCCATTGGTGGTTCAGAACACTGAGATACCGCAGTTTAACATGAATACCCCACTCAGACACAGTATACTGACTCCGAGCCAATCAGTCCTTGTTTTGGCCCCTTAATGCCGAGCGCAGACAGGGTAACAACAAGTACCATCTTTTAACGTCTGTTGGTATGACGCGGCCGGGGATCGAACCCCGGACCTTCCGCTTTCCGGGCGGACCCTCTACCACTAGACCACGGAGGCGGTTCAAATATTGCTGAGTGCGGCGTTAAACAACAAACAAAACAAAGAAGAAGCTTGTTGAAAACAACATAACCTTGTTTGGGCAATGGGTAGGTGATGTTGAAGTAGTCCTCGTAGAAGGTGATGGTGCGCATGCCGACGTCGAGGGAGTAGTCAAGATCATTCAGCGACTCTTTCTGTGCCCAAACTCGATACTGAAGAGATATTTTTTGTCATACTAGCTAAAAAACTGCGGATTGATTCATTTTTAAGGTTTTGGTGCTCTCTGATATATAGCGATACACAGCTATGTTAAAGCTCGTGTCAACTCGGCTTATTCCGCCAACTACAAAACCTACGGGATTGCAAGCCCATAGCATGACATACGTGTGTTAACCATCTTGTATGTTACAGAATGAACCGAAATGTGATGACTGCCGTGAACGCAATGTGAGGCAATGTGAATCGAATCCATGAGTTATATTGGAGTGTGATACGTTTTAATTATAGCTAAATATATCAAATTAGCTAATTATCGAATTAGCTATGGTCAAAATAACAGAGGCGGATAAGGTGTTTTAGGTGGTTCAAATATAAATTTGTTCGTGTCAATTGGGTTGATACAGGCCCCCATCTCCCAACCCCTCTTCATCCACGCCACTGCGCATACATTTAGTAACGTTAAGCCCCTGTAGGGACCGGTTTCACAAAGCGACCTTAGCGCTGAGACTGCCGTAAGTCTATGTTAAAGTATGAGAGTTACGATCACCTTAGCGCTACGACTGTCGTAAGTCTATGTTAAAGTATGGGAGTTACGATCACCTTAGCGGTACGACTGTCGTAAGTCTATGTTAAAGCATGGGAGTTACGATCATCTTAGCGCTACGACTGTCGTAAGTCTACGCTAAAGCATGGGAGTTACGATCACCTTAGCGCTACGAATGTCGTAAGTCTATGTTAAAGCATGGGAGTTCCGATCATCTTAGCACTAAGACTGTCGTAAGTCTACGTTAAAGTATGGGAGTTACGATCACCTTAGCGCTACGACTGTCGTAAGTCTATGTTAAAGTATGGGAGTTACGATCACCTTAGCGCTACGACTGTCGTGAGTCTATGTTAAAGCATGGTAATTCCGATCACCTTAGCGCTACGAATGTCGTAAGTCTATGTTAAAGTATGGGAGTAACGATCACCTTAGCGCTACGACTGTCGTAAGTCTATGTTAAAGTATGGGAGTTACGATCATCTTAGCGCTACGACTGTCGTAAGTCTACGCTAAAGCATGGGAGTTACGATCACCTTAGCGCTACGACTGTCGTAAGTCTATGTTAAAGCATGGGTGTTCCGATCACCTTAGCACTAAGACTGTCGTAAGTCTACGTTAAAGTATGGGAGTTACGATCACCTTAGCGCTACGACTGTCGTAAGTCTATGTTAAAGTATGGGAGTTACGATCACCTTAGCGCTACGACTGTCGTAAGTCTATGTTAAAGCATGGGAATTCCGATCACCTTAGCGCTACGAATGTCGTAAGTCTATGTTAAAGTATGGGAGTTACGATCATCTTAGCGCTACGACTGTCGTAAGTCTATGTTAAAGTATGGGAGTTACGATCACCTTAGCGGTACGACTGTCGTAAGTCTATTTTAAATATGAGAGTTACGATTACCTTGGCGCTAAGACTGTCGTAAGTCTATGTTAAAGTATGGCAGTTACGATCATCTTAGCGCTACCATCTCTTTGTGAAACGGGGCCCTGTTGGATACCACGCACCTCCAAGCCTCGTCGTGTTCTGCCGCTGATGAACTGGAAGTCGGACACAATGAACGCCACCAGGTAAGTCGACATCAACGGGGTAGTCTCATAGACATCAGCAACAAAACCCGCCTCCCTGGAAGTCGAAGACTTCTTAAGCTAATATTGTTCAGTGAGTAAGTTTTCAGCATCTGTTTTACATCATGATTCCTCAACCACGTACAGTAAACTACGTTTATAAAGAACACGCTTATAACGAACTGACCGATATGACGAACTACTGTTTTGGTCCAGCCATTTTCTGTATATGTGCTGAATAATATGCTTCTATCGAACTGCGTTATAACGAATTAAAATCAAGGATCCTTTTGAGTTCTTTGTAACCGTAGTTTACTGTACAAGACCTGGTGGACTAGCGTATCTGGGGATAATGTGTCCATGTTAAAAGTAAGTAATATTTATTATTGATTGACATCAGTTTAAAGTTTGGATGCAATGGGTAACTTAATAAACTTTGGGAAATGTAATCTGGGGAATTAATTACTCCTTTGTGAAAAATGTTCCAGCCATCTTCCGGTGGTCTAAAACTACTCGAATCTGGACCAGACCATGCAGTGATTTAGATCACGATCGACGATATCGGAGTCCAAAGTCTCATGACGTGAAAAACCTCGCAATCGTACCTTAACGTACTTATAAACCGACATTTTTTTCGAAGTAATCAAATCTGTCAACCTCCACGCCGTACCGGTCGTCAATTCTGACAACCTTCATGACGTACAATCGTCACTTCTGACAACCTCCATGACGTACAGTCGTCAATTCTGACAACCTCCAGGAAGTACAATCGTCACTTCTGACAACCTCCATGACGTACAGTCGTCAATTCTGACAACCTCCATGACGTACAATCGTCACTTCTGACAACCTCCATGACGTACAATCGTCACTTCTGACAACCTCCATGAAGTACAATCGTCACTTCTGACAACCTCCATGACGTACAATCGTCACTTCTGAAAACCTCGGTGACGTACAATCGTTAGTTCTGAAAACCTCGGTGACGTACAATCGTTAGTTCTGAAAATCTCCGTGACGTACCTGTCGTCAGTTCTGACAATCTTCATGTTAGACATGGAGTTCAACTCTGTCTTCCTGACGAGAGTGATGTTGAAATGAGCCTTCAGCTCGGGCTCGTCGAAACACGGGAAGGCCTTCCGGGCGTCAGTCGACTCAAACTGTGTGGTGGCCAGATAGCTGACAGAAAATATGACACACGTGCTTTTTATATACAATATCCTCATGATGTGATAACATGCGGGCAGATATTTAAGGATTTTAGCTGATTTCGTGTTCGCTTCGAAACGCATTCACGCATCCACTCAACCAGACACTCACTCACTCACTCACTCACTCACTCACTCACCCACCATCACACACACTCACCCCTACACACACCCGCTCACACATATACCCACTCACTCACTCGCGCTCTCAAACACTCACTTCCGCCCATTCACTCACTCATTCACTCGCTCGCACCCACCACACCACCAACCCACACACTCACTCACTCACTCACTCGCTCCCACCATCACACACACTCACCCCTACACACACCCGCTCACACACATACCCACTCACTCACTCGCTCACTCAAACACACACTTCCGCCCATTCACTCACTCACTCACTCACTAGCACTCACCACACCACCCACCCACACACTCACTCACTCACTCACTCACTCACTCGCTCGCACCTACCACACCACCCACACACACACTCAATCACACACATGCACACTCACTCACTCACTCGCGGCCACTACACCTGACATCCACACACTCACCCACTCACTCACACACTAGCACCACTACACCACACACCTACACACTCACTCACTCACTCGCTCGCACCTACCACATCACCCACCCACACACTCACTCACACACAGGCACACTCACTCACTCCCATTCACTCACTCACTCACTCACTCACTCACTAGCACCCACTACACCACACACCCACAAACTCAATCACCCACTTGCACGCTCACTCACTCACTCACTTAATAAATCTCTCACTCACTCACTCGCGCCTATCACACACACACACACTCAACACACACACACACGCACGCGCACGCACACGCACACACACACGCACACACAGACACACACACACACACACACACACACACACACACACACACACACACACACACACACACACACACACACACACACACACACACACACACAGAGGCTCACTCACGTCCAAGACCCGCATCTCTCACTGAAATACTGCTCAACGATCCAACCCGATCAATTTACACACAAGGCAGAAAACAATCCATACTTTCAAAAAAAAATTGTTTTAAGATTTTTTATGAAATAATATAAAATCCATCAATCCTAAACTTACACCGCCTCTCCTCCTCGCGTGTATGAACTCAGATAGAAGCCTTTCAGGTCATCCTTCAGAGGTCCAGAGAAATTCATCTTGGCATAATACACCTGACCGACGGCCGTGTCCTTGTCAAGGGCGATCTTTAATAACTGATTGTCCGTGTCTGTCTGGTAGGACACAAAGACGGGCGAGTCCGACCCGCCCTCCGATCCAAACTCTATTGACCCTGCCATTATCTCAAGGTCATTAAGATGCATAATGACCTCTTTGGTTGCCTTGAGACACTCCATTGTTATCCTGACGTAACCGTCAAAGGTGAAGGTCGACGGATCACCTTGGTACATGTTGGGTCTCATTTCAAGGTCGTAGTAGATGGGTTTTAGTGTTTTGGGCAGGAACACCACGTCTTGCTGCGGTTTTGATGAAGTGCATCCTTTGCCTACCAAAGTACATGAAAATTAGCATCATCTTATTGTGCAGTAGGAGTAGTGAGTCAGGAAGTGAGTGAGTATGATTTTACACCACTTTAAGATATATTCCAGCAATATCACAGCTGGGGACACCAGAAATATATGGGCTTCACACATTGTACCCATATTGGAAATCAAACGCTTAAACCAGCTCACCCAGTCGTTTAAGGCGCCGTACAGAGTTGCCTCCCTTTGACGACATCGTGAGTTCGAATCCCGGTTCGCCCCGATTATGTTTCTAGGTTTGTCAGCACCATACCCGTGATCGTGGTTTACACCGAAGTGGTGAACGTCTGAGACCTGCATCACTTGGGGCTTTCCTGCCACATCAAGTTGACACGACGGATTATAACTGTAATACTGTTAAGCGGCGTTAAAACCCAACTCACTCACTCACTCACTCACTCACTCACTCACCCGATCCGCATCAGTGGGATCTGATGGCAAGCAATGACGTGGCATCACCGCAAGGTCTGTAAACTAAACTATCACTATCATCAAATATTAATACGTCTTAATAAGGTAACTCACAAACTGTTGGCATTGGCCTCGTCCCTGTCGCCGAGGGTAACGTGTTCAGAAGCAGTACCAGGATGCTGATGCTGATACTTGGAATATATGTCCTTCTTGATGCCATCCTAGACGTCAGTCCGTCCGCCATGTTAACCTGCTCTGCAGATTCATGTGCCAATCACCTTGGGGTGCCGGGTCAGGTGCGTGTTCATTTCAAGATGATTCAGTTGTTATGTACAAAGTAATGATAAGATGCTTGGTTTGTCGGGATGTGATGACATTTACCCTAGTTAACATACTGTAATATGATTTTTATATACACGCCCGGAGAGGGATATCAGACCACATCACTCAAAGTATTTTTTTCACAACAGTTTCAATTGCACTCTTGTTTTGTTATTGTGTTATTTATATAATAATTTGACTTGAAGTTGCTAATAATCGCCATGAGACACAAGGTGTATCTCGACCGACCATCATTTGAGATTCGTGGTGCGTGCGTGTGTGTGTGTGTGTGTGTGCGTGTGTGTGTGTGGGGGGGGGGGGGGGTAGAAAGATAGGAATGGTGCTGGGATGTTATCGAAAAAAAATATATTGTCCCTGAAATTCTTCAGAAATATAATTATCAGACTGTTGATGAAGAAGAAATTGCCACAAAAATTAATTACATTGCTGCAAGGGGTTTATTTTAGTAAACATGAAAAAAAATATCTAATTTCAAGATCAAATCTTAGGACACCGCCCCAAGAATATCTAAAGGTAGATCCCTAAATCCCCCTGGGTACCATACGGGTAGTAGATGGATCCTGGTTTGTTGTCTTTGGTTGGTTGTCTTTCACCTGACCTGATATTGTTATTGTATGGTCATACAATATTACAAATGTATGACAGAATAACGCACTCACGTCTGTATGCCCAGTTCGGCGTGTAGTTCTTCAAGTAAAAATTGGTAGGTTACCCCTGATAACAGTACAGACCTAAATTGTCAAATCAGAAAATAAACACACAAGACAATGAACAATATAATATTATATTGAAAGACAGGATTCGGTTAAAATCATAAAATTGTGTGTGTGAGTATGGTTTTAAGCCGATTTTAGCAATATTTCTGCAGGGGACATCAGAAAAAGGTCTTCACACATTGTACCCATGTAGGGACTCGAAACCGGATCTGCGGTGTGACGAGCGGACGCTTTAACCACTGGGCTACCCCACCGCCCCCAATAGGTTCACTATGTGGCGGCAACAATTAACAGGCCCTATTAATTCTGTGCACTCACGAATGCCCAGTATTTGTCACAGTCGAATGTCTTGAAAGAGGCTCGTAGTCCCATCTTGAATCCAGGAAACAGTGCTCTGAACTGGGTATTTTTCGATAGGTATCCCTTTCGTGTTTGGCACATCAGATCGCAGAAGGCCCCGAATCGCCCTCATCTCGCTCTTTGTACATCGGTACGACCAGCCTTCTAGAAACTGCAACCTCGGGAAACGCCTCGAAAATTGTAGTCTATCCCAGTGTCGATATACAATGGCGGATAACTCTCCCGTACTCTGGTTGTCGCATACCATCAACAAGAAAAATAGCCTCCTTGGTCTAGTGATAAAGCGTCCGCCCGGAGAGCGGAAGGTCCGGGATTCGACCCCCAGCCGCGTCATATCAAAATACGTTAAGAAAATGGTACTTGTTGTTACCCTGCCTGTAGTTCGGCATTAAGGGACTGAAACAAGGACTGGTCGGCTCGGAGTCCTTACTGCGTCTGAGTGATATATCCATGTTAAACTGCAGCATGGTATCTCAGTGTGCACTACAAATCGGCATCAGTCCGGACTAGTACACGCGGTCACACACACACACACACACACACACACACACACACACACACACACACACACACACACACACACACACACACACACACACACACACGCACACACACACGCACGCACCACGAATCTCAAATGATGGTCGGTCGAGATACACCTTGTGTCTCATGGCGATTATTAGCAACTTCAAGTCAAATTAAAGCTGCAAGCAGCAATGGCGGGCTCCAAGTTACACTGTGCACAAACGTCCATGTTCGAATCCTTAAAGGGTTTCCTTGTACCAAATCCGTCACATGTAGGCACAACTTGCAGGGTATTGCCGCTACGAAATTGGCGTGTGCTAAGTCTGTTTTAAACCCATTTCCGACATCAAACATGTTCGAATCCTCAAAGGGTTTGTTTGTACCAACTCTGTCAAAAGATAGTCACCGTTTGCAGGACATTGGCGTGTTCCAGGGGTGTCCCAAATTCTAATCAAATATTACCACCAAGTCTTGTTACTTTTTCCATGCACCCAAGAACAGAAAATAAGATGCATATGATACACTAACTTCATGTAAACTTGCAATAGTTTCTGTCAACACGCTAACAAGATATGATCGTTAAAGTAAAATTTCGGTAATTTTTTTTATCAAAATCAAAATCCAATACAACCGCAACTAAAACAGATATCCCAAAACGGCTATGAGAGTTTGCTGTGTTGTGTGTGGAGACAATTCTCAGAAAATTTGGAAGCATTTTATGTAGTGGATTCAGAGGAGATAGTATTTGAAGACAGGTACCCAAAAGACACTGTGAAAACCTTGAATCCAATATGGCTGCCAAACCACGTGACCAATGACCAAAGTCAAAGAACAAAAAATGTCAAGCAGCTCAAGCAGCAGATACATGCAAGTTTTCAAAGTAATCGGATAAGCGGTTGCGGAGCAATAGGGCGAAATACATCTTCAAAAAAATTATTGTCTTTTAGTTATCTGCCCTTGGCCTTTGGGCCTACGGCCTTGGGTTTTTGGCGGGCACTAGTACCCAACGGTCTTCATACACATACAAAATTTGAACAAAATCAAGCCAGTGGTTTTTTTGCTAGCTCTGGTACAAAAATCGGCGGAATAATAATAATATTAAATCAAATGCTAACACTGGGACTCTTCAGCCTTTTGGCTTGGGGACTCTTTAACAGGCTGTAACTTCTTTGTCAGTTGGGCTCCAGTCAAACGGATTAGCGTTCTGCGTTCGTCCGGGCCACGGGTTCCTGTCGCATTGCTGAGATAAAGTGCTAAACTTGTTTCCGACCTCGTTCATATTCGAATCCTCAAAGGGTTTACCTGTACCAACGCCGTCAAATGTAAGGAACCTCTTGTGAGACATCACCACTACTAAATTGACATGTGCTTGGGTGTCCCAGGATGTTTCAACCATTTTCCAACTTCGACCATGTTCGAATCCGCATATGGTTTGCTTGTACCAACGCAATCAAATGTAATAAACCGCTTGTGAGACATCACCACACGTGTCTCAGGGTGTTCTTAACCCGTGTTTGACTTCGACCATGTTCGAATCCGCATATGGTTTGCTTGTACCAACGCCATCAAATGTAATAAACCGCTTGTGAGACATCACCACACGTGTCCCAGTGTGTTCTTAACCCATGTTTGACTTCGACCATGTTCGAATCCGCATATAGTTTGCTTGTACAAACTCTGTCAAAAGATAGTCACCGTTTGCAGGACATTACCGCTACCAAATTGGCGTGTGCCACAGTTTCCCAGAGTGTACTAAACAATTTCCGACCTCGACCATATTCTAATCCGCAAATGGTTTGCTTTAAACAACGCCGTCAAAAATAAGGTACCGTAGCAATTGGCAATTGAGAAATGAAGAATCAAGCCAGCCAGTCTGACCACCCAATCCGATTAGTCGCCTCCTGTGACAAGCATAGTTGCCTCTTGAGACAAGCATCGGTTGAAAAAGGCCAATTCTAATCCTGGTCGTCAAGGGTAGTACACATAATACCGAACAAGACTGTGGAGAACGCTTGGATATCTGCAAAGCCAGTGAATGGGGGTGTATGGTAGATTTATGAGACGCTTCCTTCAATATTTGTACTCAAGTCTGATTTTTTTTCTTAAATCAAATAATACCACACCAAGCAGTGGTGCTTTCAGTAT